TCCTGGCACTTCTGTGTGGCACACTTGGATTTTCTGTTTGTTGTTTCTAGATTGGTCGTCATTCTTCGTTGTGCCAGGAAGTGAAGCGTTTCACAGTTTCAAATTATTTGAACCAACTGACTCTTGCAGTAGCAATAACGAGACACAGAATTAGTCCCAGTTCTTGCCCAGAGCTGATTTAGTCTGAGTTTAATTTTTGCCGTGCGGGGAGTTGTGAGTGATGTCACAGTACAACTCACTTTGACCCTCCCCTCTGACACAAACTGCTGGGAATTTCCATAAATGTCCAGGCCCTGTGAACTCGCTCACTCGGAGGTCGCACTGGGCTCGTGGTCCGGACTGGACAGGCTCTGGCAGGGAGCCCGCGTCACCTCACTGTTCTGATGCCCCTTCCTGCTCCTGGGTCTGTGGTCAGAGACCCGCGGTCTGACACAGAAATGCAGCAAAACCTCGCTTCTCCAGCTTCATTCATTCCGGAATTCTGTTCGAGAAATGGTTTGTTTGAGATCCCAGTCATACAGGGGACTGATCATTCAGTTATTGGCCTGGAAGGGTTGTCAGGTGAAGAATGAAAAGTTTGTTCGACAACTGTGACATATTTTCCAATAATAGTTTGGTCATGAACTGAATTGTTCGAGATGGGGGACATTTGGGAACTTAGGTCTGACTGTATTTGGTCTCTGCCCCTGGTTCCCTGCACAGAGCCCCTAAAACCCTTGGAGTCTCCTGAGTGACAAGGATGCTAATGAGGTGAGGCTTGGCCGAGGGTCCTGGACAGTTTCAGGGTGGGGGCCGGTCACCAGAAAGAGCAGGTTTGATCTGAGGGTCAGGACTCTCAGCCTCCCTGCCCAGCCTCTGGGGGAGGGGCTGGGGTGCGAGTTCAATCCCCAATGGCCAAGGATTTAGTCAAATCTGTCCACATAGTAGAACTTTCATAAACCCCCTAATAATGGGGTTCAGAGAGGTTCTGAAGTGGTGAACCCCTCCCCATGTGGGGAGTTGGGGTGACACTTTCCAACTCCATGGTGACAGAGGCTCTGGCACTCGGGACCCTCCCCCACCTAACCCCACGTACCTCCTCATCTGGCTGCTCACGTGTATTGTTTATAATAAAATGTACAGTGAGCACAGCATTTTCCTGAGTTCTGTGACTTGATCCAGCAAATTAATGAACTTGGGGGAGCCCCTACCTTTTGTAGCTGAGTCGGACAGACATGCAGGTAACATGGGGCTGAACTTGAGACTGGCTCTGAGGGGAGGGCAGTCTTGTGGGACGGACCCTGACCCTGTGGGGTCTGAGGCAACTCCAGGGAGTTCAGGTCGGAGTTGAGCTGAACTGTAGGAGACACGGCTGGTGTCCGAGAATCAGAGAAGTGGGTGAATGGAGGAAAACACCCCCTCACCATCCCACAGGGAAACTCAGAGGAAGAGCAAGCAAGAGACGCTCTGACTGGGACGTCATTTATTGGTCACGTGTCCCTCCAGCCAAACCCGAGTGCCTGCAATGCACCAGAAAGTTCCAGCCTCAGACTTTGCTCCAAGGACTGACATGTGTCTTCCTTTTCCACCCCCACCCCCGCCCCCGACTCTGTCCTACAGGGGAAGGCTCCTCACTCAGAGTCCTGGTGGGCACCTCCCCCCTCCCTGGGGCAGGACTGTGCTTCCCTCCCCCTCCTCCCCCACAGGGGGGCGTGTCCTAAACTCTAAGGGACCCAGGAGACTTGCATCCAGGGAGCACTGGGCAGCAGCAGCTCATCCCAGGCTGCCCCCCGACTGTGCCCAAGGCCCCCTCTTCTCTGACCCCCCAGTGAGCTGACAGCAGCCCCTCCTGGTCACCTGTTGCTTCCTCTGTTCTAGGCCCTTCCTTGCTTCACCGTCCACAGTGAACGTTAATAACCGTCCTCATCAAAACAGAAGGGTCTCGGGGGAGGCAGAGGCCACGTCCCTCCATGACAGAGGGAACCCACGTCCCCAACGTTCGTGCATCTGCACACGGCACAAGGCCCCACTAGTGAGGTGACCACATGCTAGACTCTGACTCAGGACGTGGTGACAAAGACAGGCTGGGACTGTGCAGAGGGCACTCGGTCAGGGCAGGGGGAGTGGCAGCAACAGTTTCCAGGCGCAGGGGCAGCAGAGACGGCCATCCGACTGCAGGGCCAAAGGTCCCACCTCAGGGGAGCCAGTGGGGTGAGCGGTGACATCTGTGCCCTGCAGCAGGGCAGCGGGGCCTGTGTGGGACCCGACCCAGGCTGGGCTGTGGGCGGTTCCTGGCTGAGCAGCCTCTGGTCTGTTCTGTGACTTTCTCCAAAATGGCATTAGAACCCACTACACTGCTTTATATCTAAATTAGAAAAAATTAAGATATCATTGTTTGCTCCAAGAAATACACCTGTGGGACAGTTTCACTCAGAGATTTTATTATGCTGACCCGGGGCTGCCTCCTAAACCTTCCACCTGACTCTACCCCGTGGTAGAGAGAACAACTGTGACTCCCAACATCCTGTCTCATAAATGACAATATATGTCCTCCATTTTCTTTCTGAGGGAGAAAAAAACAATAAATGTGCATTGAAGACCCCTCTACACCCTGAGCTCCATCACTGACTTCAGTGGTTCCAGTCTGGCTGAGCTGCACAATGGCTTGAGGAGCTTCTTACAAACCCCAGGTCCCTCCCAGACCCGAGTCTCAGGGGATTAGGCCCCAGGCCAGGGTCACTCCTGTGATAAGCCCTGCAGGTGAGGCTGAGGCACAGCCCTGTGGGATCCTGGTCTGGGCTCCTGCTGCTAAATGTGCGACCTGAGGACCAGCAGCAGCCCCACCAGCCTTGTTATGAATCCAGAATCCCACGCTCTGCTCCAGACTTTCTGAGTCTTAACAAAGTGTGCAGGTAATTTGTGGGCACAAGAAAGTCTGGGACTCGGTGCTCAACAGCCTTCTAGACACAGAGATGACTGTGCAGGCGGCTCTGGTGTGCGGTCCACTCAGATCACTCAGCACTGGGGCCCTGGTTCAGTCCTTCTCCTTCGTCTTCTGTAGCTGTCACCTCCTTGGTGACCTCGCCCATGCTCACGGCTTTCAGTAGCATTTGTGTGTGTGGCCTCCCAAGTCTATCTGTGCAGCCCGCACATCTCCCCATCTCCAGACTCAGCGGTCCAACCACCAATCAGATGACTCCCTGGGATCTTCACAGACGTCTCAGCTCCACATTCTCTGGCAATGAACGGCTGTGATGTCCCCTCAAATCTGCTGCTTCCAGAGTCTCCCCATCTCTGCTGACACAACTCCTTCTCTCTGCTTGTGTCCTCTGAGATGTTTGGTGACCTGGACTCTTCTCCCTCATACCCCAGATTAAACATTAGGAAGGCCGTCAGGGCCCCCACAGAAGGTTTCCAGGATCCCCCCACACCCACTACTCCCACCACTCACCCCAGGAAGCATCTCCATCCTGGAGCCCAGCACAGACCCCTCCTGCGTCCACACTGCCTCCCTCACCTCCCAAGTCTGCTCTCAGCACAGCAGCCACTGGGACCCATTGAAGGGGACGTCAGACCATGTCCCCCTCCTGCTCCACTCTGTCCCCTGAGCCCTGCCTCACTGAGAGCACAGTTGTGCCCTTCCAACGTCCTCCAGGCCCACGTGGTCTGTCCATGACTCTGTCTCATCTCCATCACTCCCTGCCCCATTCCCACACTGACCCCACCCCTCCTCCTTCTTCCCAGACTCCAGACACCCCGCTGCCCCGGGGCATTTGCACTGGAGGGTCCCCTGCCTGGACAGGACTTCCTCTAGACATCCTGGTGGGCGATGCCTCCTGTCCTTCAAATCTTCCCTCAAGGCCACCTCCCCAGTGAGGCCCACACTGACCACCCAAATCAAACAGCCGCCTTCCCTGTCCCCACAGCCCACACTGGGGACCACTGTCCCTTCTGCATCTTCCCAGACCACATACCCTCCCACAGACACCGCCCTGTGTACTGTGCTCACACCCCCTCTCCCCACACAGACGGTTCCCACAAGGCTGACAGTGATCCTGATTGTGCCTCTGTGATGTCCCCACAGGCAAAACCAGTGCCACCCGTCTGTCACGCACGCAGCCACCACTGGTCATTAATGGTCAGGGCAGGGCACCTCCCTATGCTGCAGGCAGTGTCTGTACTCACGTGGCCCCAACCACAGCTGCTCTGTGGCAGCTACGGCCCCACGTGCACCCACATCGATGCCCCGCACTTTCCCCAAAGAGCAGCTCCCCCAAATCCACCCCAGACCCCATTCTTTGCATCCCAGAGTGGACACCGCAGCCAGCACTGGACTGAGGTCAGGGGGAGGGGTGGGCGGGCAGAGCGTAATTCCAATGGGGTCGAGTCTCGGATGGAAATTGTGGATCCCAGCTCTGCTCAGTCCAGAACCCGGTTCCTCTGAGACTTTAGGATGAGATGAAAGAACGGCCAAGCCCTAGAGGAGGGAAGGGCAGGACAAGTCTGATAGGTCATCTCTGCACCACAGACTCCCGTGTGCAGGGACCCCTGGGCCTGGTGTGGACAGTGACAGGCAAAACACTTCTGCTGCTCACAGACAGGGACACCCAGAGGAGAGTGAGAACAGGACTCCTAACAGGACAAAGGCAGTCGTGTTGCTGTATAGAACAAAGATGCAACGAATAAAATAAAGACCCAGAAGATGGGGCTGAGGGTCCGACCCAGGCCTGAGCCTCGGCTGACCTGGCACAGGAAGCCCTCGCTGCCCTCTGTCCTGGAGACGGGCTTCACTGGGACAGTTTACAAGGCCTGGGTGATGCTGGGTTCCTGTGATCACAGGTCCTGCTGGGACAAGGTTCCACTGAAGGGACAAGGACAAAGGGGCAGAGGGCAACCCAGCTGAGGAGGGACCACGTCAAAGCCCATGATGCACTGGGCGCCGACCGGGCACAGCCAGACCACGCTCGGTCCTCACAGCCTCTCCTGTCCCTGCAAGAGACTCAGCACAGCAAACACACGGGTTCTGCAAACTTCTCAATGAGTCCATTTATTTCCTTCAAAACTTAGGATCTTCAGCTTTTTAATTAACACATCAACCACTCAGGGCAAGCATTGAGAAAATAAATTTCCACCCAGAGCCTCATTTTGGTGAGAGATTGAGAAGCTGCAGCTCAGGCACCAGGAAGCACAGACAGGGCTGGGGGGCCGGGCCCTCTGCTGGAGCAGGGACAGGTGGGGAGGGGGCTGGTGGGCGGGGCGGGCCTGCCTCCCCCCTCCCAGTGATGCTGATGGGAACACAGACATTCAGGTGTCAGCTGCAGAAGCAGAAGTGAGATGTCCCTGAAGTGACAAACAGGGGCTGGCGGGTGTGTGTGTGTGAGGAACCTTCAGTCACTCATTCCCCGACAGGGCAGCTGTCTCATGCTGCAGAAGAAAATAATTGTGAATGAATGTCCATCAGTCGTTGTAGGTGGTGACATTGTCCAACAGCCCACCTTGTGCTGACCCCAGTGAGTCCCCCCATTGCCCAGTCCCGTCCCCTCTGCCCAACTCTCCCCCTGTCAGGGCCTCACCTTTACAAGCTGTGAGAGACACATCAGAGCCCTGGTCACTGTCACTGCCTGGGTGGCACAAAACAGGATGTGGTCAGAGCCCCAGGACAGGAGACTAAAGGAGGAACTATGGGGGGGGGAGGGGGAGGTCCCCCGTGGGCTGCTGTCTGGACTGACACAGGGTCTCAGGGGTCCCCCCTCCACACTCACTGGCAGCCTGAGCGTAGCTCCTTCCTTGTCCACCTGCGGGAAGAAAACGTCCTGTGAGACACCAGGGAGGAGGCAGGGCCCTGAGGCCCCAAGGGAAGTCCTGGTGCTGGACCACAGGGAAGTTTCCAGAACTCTGACTACAGACCCAGGGCAGGATCCGGAAACCTGAGGGAGGTTCACGTGCAGGGACTGGACCGACCACCCTCCTGCAGGTCTGTCCTCGGCAGGGACCCTCCCCTTGGACCTGTGACTCTTGGGAGCCAGGTCCCCACCACCAGAATCATCAGGGTGACAAATCTGTCCTTTATCTCACACGTGCCTCCCTAACCAGTCACTGTAGCAAGTAGGGCCCCAGACTGGCAAGCACAGGAGTGAAGACGATGCTTCCCTTTAATGAAGGGGGTCTCCTGGGCTTGAGACCCCGGGAGGGACAAAGCACACCCCACCCGTCCCTACCTGAGCGCCTCCTCCCCCACATCACAGCTGCAGCCACAGCTCCAAGCAGGACCAGGACACAGAGGACGCCCACAATGATGATGATGGTGCTGGTCTCAGGAGGAGGCTCTGCAAAGGGACAGGCAGGTGAAGGCCCTGCTCACAGGGTTCCCGCCCCGACCCCACTGACGTCCCCAGAGGCCCCTCCTCACCCCATCGCAGTGTCAGGGGCTCCCGTAGCCCCTCGTGCTGCACGTGGCACGTGTATCTCTGTTCCTCCCCGGGAGGCACCACCAGGGCCGCCCACGTCTGGAAGGTCCCGTCCCCCGAGGGCCTGGTCTCCACCAGCTCCGTGTCCTGGGTCTGGTCCTGCCCGTCCCGCCGCCAGGTCAGGGCGATGTCCGCAGGGTAGAAGTCCCGCGCCCAGCACCTCAGGGTGGCCTCCTGCTCAGAGGTGGGGTGGCGGGTCACTCGTGCCTCTGGGGGCTCTGAGGACAAGGGTCGGAAAGTCGGGCACTTCCCTCAGCCGCGGGGCAGTCCCGCAGCGCTCCCGTGGCCATCCCGAGACTGGACAGGACTGGAGGGGGGTGCAAACGGGAGACCCGGCTTGGAAGGCACCTGGGGGGATGCCCTGGTCTGTACAACGTTCTAGAACCAGTGGGACTGAGCCCAGGTGCAGGCCGGTCTGAGGGACAAAGGCGTTTCTGGTCCAGATGCGGGGGGGGGGGGGGGCGGGCACGTGGCTGCGGAGAGGGGGGTCGCACCGAGACCCGCGGGTGCGGGGCGGGATCGGGCCTGAGAGACGAGGTCTCCACGGGCCGGGGCGCCGCCGGGGTCAGAGGAGCCGCTGACCGGACATCTCGGGGCGCGTCCCCTCGGTCCCCGGGGAGGCTGCCCCCTGAGCGTCCCTGAGAGAAGGCGGGTCGCCCTCCGGTCCCGGGTCGGAAAGTCCGGGCGGACTCGGCCTCCCGACCACGCAGAGGCGGTTCTGACCCGGGTCCCGCGTCCGTCTCCCCGTCGGAGCCCAGCCCGAGGGCGGGGGCGCCCCGCGAGCCCGGTACCTGTGCGCTGCAGCGCCGCCTTCCCGCGCTCCAGGTACAGCAGGAGCGACTCCCTGCACCGGCCGTGCACGTAGGTCCTCACTTGCTCCGCTGCACCGGCCGCCTCCCACTTGCGCTTCGTGTTCTGAGCCGCCGTGTCGGCCGCGGTCCAGGAGCGCAGGTCCTCGTTCAGGGCGATGTAGTCGGCGCCGTCGTAGGCGAACTGGTCGTACCCGCGGAGGACGATCCCGTCCGGCCCCAGGTCGCAGCCGTACATCTCCTGGTAAGTGTGAGACCCTGACCCCGCCCCGAGGTCAGCCCCGCCCGCCGACCCGCCCCCCGCCCGTGGGGAATCCAACCGAAACCGAAACCGAACCCGAGTCCCGCGGGCTCCTCCCGGGGTGAAGCTCGGACGCCGACACTCGGGGCGACCCCGCCGGTCCGCGGGGTGTGGGTCGTGCCCGGCCCCGCGCGCTCACCGTGGTCGCTCTGGTTGTAGTAGCCGCGCAGGTTGTTCAGGTTCCCTAGGTAAAGCTGTGCGGTTTCCTTGCAGATCTGCGTCTGCTCCTCCCAGTACTGCGGGTCCACCTCCTCCACCCACGGACCCTCCATCCACGGCGCCCGCGGCTCCATCCTCGGGTTCGCAGCGTCGCTGTCGAACCTCACGAACTCGGTGCCGTCCACGTAGCCGACGGCGAAGAAGCGGGGCTCCCCCAGGCCGGGCCGGGACACGCTGGTGTAGAAGTAGCTCAGGGAGTGCGGGCCTGCGGGCGGGGCGCGGTGAGACCGGGGACGCTCCGCCCGGAGCCGGTCCCGGGTCCGCGGTCGCGGGGACGGAAACGGGGACCGGGGGCGGGATCCCGGGTCCGGTCCCGGGCGGTGGGGTCGCTCCTCCCCGCAGAGGCCGCCCCCTCCCGACCTCGCGCTCACCCGCCCGGGCCCCGTCAACGCCAGCGCCCCCGAGAGCAGCAGCAGGAGGAGGCTCGGGGACCGCATGACATGCATCCTCGGGGTTTGAGAGAAAATTGCGTCCCGGCGGCTCCGGGGAGACTTTTAACCGGGGAGCGGCGGCGGCGCTGATTGGTTTCTCCAGACACCGGCCACCAATGAGAGAAGCACCTGGGGCCGCGTCACGAGTATCCAGGAAAAAGGCCACCGTGCTTGTTGGGAGACGCAGAAGTGAAACCCGGAGGCCGGGAGTCCCCAGCGCGGAGCTTCCCCGCCCAGACTCCGCCCTCGGGCCGAGACCCCGAGCGACGGCCGGGCACCTGGGCACCTGGGACCCGATCCCTCCTCCTGCTCTGAGAGCCCGTGGTCGCAACTCGTCCCCGACTCCGGGCCCCAGTCTGTCCGGGGAAACCAGGGAGCGACCCCCAGGCCGGGCCCAGCCCCCTTTTCTCCTCTCCGTCCCCGGAGCCCCTCTCCCGGGAACGGACTCCGCCTTTCCGGAGCTCGGGCCGCTCTGCTTCTAGGGTTTATGTGACCTGACTGCCCACCCAGATAATGTGGGGGACTCTCCCTGTCCCACGGTCCGTAACCTCAATGACATCACCCAGGTCCCTTTGCCACTCGAGGAAACCTGTCACAGGCTCCAAGGACCGGGCTGGCTGTCTCTGGGGACACTGTTCAGCCTTCCATACCTAATGGTGCTGACTGTCACAGAGGGTCAAGGGGGTAGTGCTCTGGGATGGTGACAGTGGGCCAGGAGCTAAAAGAAATGGGGGAGTGGCCTGGGGTCCACAGGGAATCCCTCTGCTGAGGTAGTGGGAGCTCCAGTCTGATGGCAGATTGGGGGTGATAGGGAGAGGGAGGGAAGTGGGTCAAACCAGTGGAGGAGCCAGGACGGTGCCCCCTGCACGCCCATGGCACTAGGTGACAGGGAGTGGGGACACCCATGGGAGGACTTCAGAGGGAGCCATGGCCTCAGGGAGACTCGGGCTCCTGGGGGGGTGGTGCCCAGGTTCTGGTCCTGGGCTGAGCACTCAGGGGCCCAGTGGGCAGGTTTCAGGGGTCGGGGAGGAGGGGGTGTGCGAGGGGGCAGAGTGGGGGCTGCAGAGCCTGTGGAGGTGAGGTGCAGGATGTTTGGGGACCAGGGGTGACTGAGACAGGGACAAGGACAGATGAGTTTGGTCCTGGTGGCTTCAGGGTGGATGGTGGTGAGTGAGTGACAGGGTGGGTGGAGCAGGGGTTGGGTTCCCCCTGGGGTCTGTGGGTGGGGATGAGGAGGTTGGGGTGGGGGTCTCAGTCCCAGTCCTGACCCCTGACTGTGGGGTGGAGGGTCAGGGGGAGAGGCAGGGTCTTGGAGGACGTGCATGAGTTCGCTCTGAACCCTGAGAGAGGGGACTGTGCTCACTCCAGGTCTCAGTGCAACAGCTGCTGTTGAAGGTGTGACTTCTGGGGCACCAGGTGTGGCCCTGGCACCGGGCCCCTCCCCTGTCCTGCTGAGGGGACAGAAGGTCCAGGGCAGCTGAGGTCCTCGTCCCAATCGTCCCGATGTGCGTATCCACACTGGGGAGGATGTAGATGTTGAGATGCTGTTCCCAGTAAGAGATGATTTCACTTCCAAACCTGAGTTTCAGAAAGGGAAGCAGGGAGTAGAGGAAAATGGCCTACTGTCAGTTTCCCTGGTGTGGCTGTGGAGGGGAAGGAGGGAGGGGAGCTGGGAGGGGCCGGGGGCGTCAGGGACGGTGTGAGGGCCCCTGCGTGGTCCTCCTCTCCAGTGGGGGACATTTGCAGGATAATGTGGGGAAGTTTATATTATTTGACAGTGTATAATATCAGAAAATTATAGTTATTTTCTTCAATGTAATAATACTATTGTTCGAAGAGAAAGGTTATTTTTTCTGAGATGAAAATCGAAATATTCAGGGGAGAGGGTCATGATGCTGGCAGATGATTTTCTTTCCCTCCCACTTCCTCTTGCACATGGACCCGGGCGGGGCAGCTCAGGTCCAGGAGCAGCAACTGCACCCACACCCGCCCTCCCTGCGGTGCTTCTGCTGCTGCTCAGACCCACTCAGACGGCCCGCCTTCCTCTTTCAAGGAGACTTTCATCGAGGGATCCTTCTCATCCAGCCCTGCTTCAGCCATATTCACAAACTCACAGTCCATCAGCCAGTTCAACCCATGTTTGAACCCAAGTTTGGATTACCTTCAATTTCTGTCTCACAGGCCACCGAGCACTAGGCATTTCAGGGGCTGTACCTACCAGATGTCACCTTTAAGGTCCCAGAACATTCCATGATTAGGCGCTTTGCCTGCACTTTACAACTGATCTCCAGGAGCTGCTGGAGGGTGCCTCGCTGAGTGCCCACACCACATCTCCTCAGGGGCTTCTGGAATGCGGGTGGGCACCCACTTTAGGATTTCCACAATTCCCCCTTTCCCTGCTCCCCAGTCTTCTTCTCCATCCTCATTTATGCTCTCATTCCGTATCTCTAGACAATAACAATACTCATTTCTCATCCCTTCTCCCCAACTCCAGTTCCTACTCTCTCTAACCCACATGCTCTTTCTCGGGAAACACACTCTGACCTTACTTCTCATTTTTCTATTTACAAAACCCTCAATGGTGAGTGATATCAGCAGGAGGCTGGACCAGGAGGCTCTGGCCCCTCCCCCAGGAACGAGCTAAACCAACACTTACATGTGCATCAGTGTTCTTGGTGAGAAGCCCAGACATTGTTCAAGAGAGGCTGCACACTGGGAAGCGAGAAAGTGCCCACAAAAACAGGAGGAAAGCTCACCATGAACCCCAGTCTTTCCATAACCCCCTCCCAGCGCAGCACCACACACCCAGGAGGGAGCCCCGACTCTTGGCTCTTCTTTGAGGAGCCAAGTGTTTGGACCACACACCTGGAGCCTAACTTTTCTGGCTGCTGCCTGAGGTCTGGTCTCTAAGTCCCTGTCTCTCCAGCAGGCAGGCCCAGTGTTTGCAGGCGCAGTGTTTGCAGGTCCCAGGGGGCCACAGGGAACAGGGGCAGATCTGAATGGGGGTGAGCGCCTCCTGGGGCTCCTCTCCCTGGTTCACACAGAGTCAGGGGGTGGTGGGCACAGCCCCCAGATCCTCCCTGGGGGAATTAGACTACACCCCCAACACCCCAACGTCTCTGGCTGCTGCCTGGGGATCTGTCCCTGGCAGGGGTCTGGACTTTCTGTTGTCCTGGGGACTGCAGAGAACACAGCAGTGGCTGTGAATGGGCCTGTGGGCTCCTCCCCCACCTCCCTGGCTCCAGTGATGAAGCCCAGCTCCCAGCTTCTTTCTGGAAGGAGTTACACTGCACAACTAGCATCCTGACCTTTTCCCTCTGCTGCCCAGACTCTGGCTTCTGACTGTCCTGTTTCCTGAGCCGATGAAGCAGGCCCTCCCTACTAGTGCCCTGGGAACCTGACTGGGTGTGGGGACACTTCCCAGGGCTCCTCCCCCTGAGCTGCTTCAGCAATAAAGTCACGCCTCCAGCTTCTCTCTGGAAGGAGTTGGATTATACATCTGGCCTTCCACCGCTTCTACCTGCTCTGGGAGAGACTGGCGTCTACCTCTCCCGTCTCTGAGGGCTGACAGGGCTGCATTCGCTAGAGAGCAAAGCAGTGTCTAAAGGAGAGTTTGAATGAGAATCGGGCATTGGCCACACAGCTGCCCTCCCTGGCTCAGTGCAGAGTGAGCAGGAGGTGAGCTCCAGTCCCAGCTTCTCCCTGAGCAGGGAGGGCACTGGGCACACAGGTAGCACCCCCACTGTGCCAGCTGCTCCTCAAGGGACTGCCTTCTCTTTCACCTGCTTGGGGCGCAGACAGGACTTGTCAGAGCCTAGAATCCTGGGGCTGCTAAGAACGAAAGAGGAATAGAGGAAGTCACCTCATACAAGAAAGACCCTATATGAAAAACTCACTGCTAACATCATAATCAGAGGAGAAAACTTGAAAGCTTGTCTTCTAAGATTTGGTACAAGGCAAGGAGGCCCACACTCACTGGTTGTATTCAGCATAGTTCTGGAAGTCGTAGCCAGAGCAATCAGGCAAGAGAAATAAATAAAAGCCTCTGTCCTGGCTGTTGTAGCTCAGTGGATTGAGCTTGGTCCTGCAAACCAAGAGATCGAGGTTCGATTCCCAATCAGGGCACGTGCCTGGGTTGCAGGCCAGTTCCCAGCAGGGGATCAGTGTGCAGCCACACACTGAGGTTTCTCTTCCACTCTCCTTTGCTTCCCCTCTAAAGATAAATAGATTAAATCTTTTTAATCTGTTAAAAAGGGAAGGTGTGTCTGCGCTCATCTGTGCGCTGCTCTGACGGCCTGTTCTCCCTGCGTCCCTCCTGGAGGACGTAGTAACAGTTGACTGAGCCCCTCCTTGGCCCCCAAACAGAAATTTCCTTTTGATGCTCCTGTGGACCGGGCCTCCCTGGTGCACAAGGACCCGGCGAATTCTTTGGTCTCCTCACCCAGGCTCTTCACCTGTTTGCCAGCAACAGCCACATTAACACAGAGGATGTCTCTGATTGGCTGAATACAGCAGGGTTCCCCCCATTCTAGAGTCTGTTTTCTTCTTCTTTACCTCTGCCTTGTTCCTTTACCCTCACACCCACAGAGACTTGGTTGGTTAAAGCACCAGAGGGCGGTGGTCCTCAGTGGGACCACTGGGACTCCACACCTTGATGACCCTCCTAAGCTCCCGGGAAGCTGGGGTCATCAAAGGTCAGTGCTGAGGGCCCCTGGGTGAGGAGATTTAGGGTGTCATGTGAGAGACAGTATAGAGGATGAATCGTTCCTCTCCCTCTGTGGTTCATGGGCAACTTCCCTTCCCAGGAGATGCCCAGTCCCTCTCACCTCTCATGTCCCTTCTGAGCCTAAAGGACAGGTGCAGCTCAGTCCAGACAGCCAGGGTCTGGCTCAGACTTGTTCAGGTTCAGGTGCCTCCCCAATTCCTCCCAGACCTCCATCCTTCTGCCCCAGCACTCTGATTTCTCCACCACTTCCTGACTCCAAGTCCAGCTCTACTGCAGTATGTACCACCAC